TATTTCCTTACTTTTTGGCCAAGTCAGTGGTGAAAATTTGTTTTGTGAATGCATTGACAATGTTTTAAAATTCACATCAACAATTCATTTCTCTGTCTTTCTTCGAAGTGTCAAAAGATCTAGGAATACTGAGCTCCCATACATGCTGGATCTGAGCAGGGGCTGCCCTCAAAGTTCCCCTGTGAGCTTTCCTCTCTGCCCGGGTCCCACCAGCCTCCCTAATTCACCAAGTTCACCAGCCTGGCCCAGAGACAGTTGAGTTGGCACCTCCCATATCATATCAATCTAAGAAGTGAACTATAGCGATTTCACTCTATTTTTACGTTTGATCTTAGCCAAAAGTCCAAGAAGTGATAATTTTACTCTCTATTTAGACAAGACTGGTAATCACCAGTGAATGGTTAGACTGGCTTCTATCTATACTTGATTGGGCCCCAACACTTACATCCAGAAGAAATGTCTTCTCCGCATATCAGCGTCTCTCCAAAACGCCCGGGACACTCAGCAGTGCAGTACACAGAGGCGTGGGGCTCCAGGAAGTTTGTATACCAAAGTCGAGCTGTTGTTTTATTAATCCTGGTGATGTGAAATCTTTCTCTAATGCCGTTTTTATAAAAATAAATTTTCCTTGGTTGGCAGTTCTTAATTGTTGCTTGGCAGTATATAGAGATATTTGTGCCCATCTTAAAAATTGTGGCCGGTTCTACCCAGATGTGGCCAGAGCAGTTAATACTTGTAATTCCTGGAAATAAATGGATATAATAATAAATTCTATGTAAAACATTGAAACAAGAGATTCAGAACAATATCCTATCACATTTAAAAGTTATCATTTCCTATTAATTAAATGATTTCCACTGGAAAAAAGGTTTTAGGACTAAGGGTATATTTTCATTGATTAGTTTATTTGAGTATGTTCTATTAATGTTCAACAGCATGACACAGGACTGGAGTCAGCCTCAAAGCTTCTCTGTCTAAAGAGCAAATACAGGCAGGTGGCAGTGGCTCACGCATATAATCCCAGCACTCTACAAGGCTGAAGCAGGAGGGCTGCTTGAGCTCAGGAGTTCGAGACCAGCCTGAGCCAGAGTGAGACTCCTATCTCTACCAAAAAACAGAAAAAATAATTTTAAAAAAACAGCCAAGCATCATGGTGGGTACCCCCAGCTACTCAGGAGGCTTCATCAAGTAGATAACGTGAGCCCAGGAGTCTGAGGTTGCAGTGAGCTATGATGACACCACTGTACTTTACCTGGGGCAACAGAGGGATATTCTGTCTCAGGAAAAAAAGAAAAAGAAAGAGAAAGGGAAAATATAATTACCTCTCCAACTTTACATGGGAGAATTGAGGAATTATGAAGCCACGTCATTTTGTAAAGGCAAGATTAGAAATATTGCTGGACATTGAAAAATCTGGTCTCCAACTGGCTCCAGATATTCAACCTACCTTTTGTTCATTTTTAGGTAAAAATTACTTTTATCAGAAAATTATGAATATAATGAATAAAATTGTTTTTATATCTTGTCAGTGATAAAAATTTAGTGCTAGATAATTATACTGAAAAATTTATCATTAATGTAATAATACAAGAAATGTAAACACTATTGTTTTAAAAAATCCAAAACAACATATTTAATGCACGCTTGATGTTAGAAAGAAGTGAATAGATGGATGAAATGATAATCTCTGTGTTGAAGTAATTTTTAATTTTTTAAAATTATATATTTCTGTGTTTTAAAAATTATATAATCGTGGATGGCATCTGGGCTCAGTGGGTAGGGCGCCTGCCATATATACCGAGGGTGGCTGGTTTGAACCTGGCCCCAACCAAACTGCAACAAAAAAATAGCCTGGCGTTGGGGTGGGCACCTGTGGTCCCAGCTACTCCAGAGGCTGAGGCAAGAGAATCGCCTAAGACCAGGAGTTGGAGGTTGCTGTGAGCTGTGACAGCACAGCACTCTACTGAGGGTGATAAAGTGAGACTCTGTCTCTAAAAAAAAAAATAAATAAAAAGTAAAAAAATAAAAATTATATAATGAATGTATTATTTTTATAATCAACATTTTAAAATCATTTTTATAAACTCAAACTATAATGCCATATAAAATTAATGAAATAAAATTTACATCAAAGAAAACATGTGAAAGGCTCTGTTAAATTTATTATAGGCTTTTTCTAAAAATACCTTGTATTAAAATATCTTTAAAGCTTATGGAAGTAGTGATAATTTGTGTGCATGTGTGTGTGTGTGTGAGAGAGAGAGAGACTGAGTCTCACTCTGAGCCCTGGGTAGATTGCCCTGGCATCATATCTCCCATCAACCTCAAACTCCTGGGCTCAAGCAATCCTCTTGCCTCAGACTCCCGAGTAGCTGGGATTACAGGTGCCCACCACAATGCCTGGCTAGTTTTTCTTCTGTTGTTAGTAGAGACAAGGTCTTGTTCTTGCTCAGGGTAGTCTTGAACCCCTGGGCTCACAACCTCAAACTCCTGGGCTTAAGCAATCCTCCTGCCTCAGCCTCCTGAGTAGCCAGGACTACAGGTGCTGGCCACAATACCCAGCTATTTTTAGAGATGGGGTCTTGCTCTAGCTCATGCTGGTCTTGAACTCCTGAACTCAAGCAATCCACCCGCCTCAGCCTCCCAGAGTGCTAGAATTACAGGCATGAGCCACCACGCCCAGCCACAAAACCAGAGGTGAGTATTTGATTTTAGAAAGTCTTTATCTTTGGAACAAAGATACAAGCTCAAAGAATTCATTTTCTGCATAATAGAAATATAATAAAATATTTCTATTCATATAATGGACATTTATATGTAAATTGCACTCTGGGAGGCGGAGGCCAGAGGATCACTTGAAGTCAGGAATTTGAGACCTCTGACCTCTGAACAAGAGGGAGACTCCATGTCTACTAAAAATAGAAAGATAAAAAAAAATAGCCCGGCCTGGTATAGTTGGCCCCTTACTCCCAGCTACCAGGGAGGCAGAGGCAGGAGGATCACTTGAGCCTAGGAGCTGAAGCTTGGGGTTGAGCTATAATGATGCCCCTGCATTCTTGCTGGGGCAACGAACAAGACTCAAAAAAAAGAAAGAAAAAGTCAACAACGTCAGAAATCTTCAAGTTCAGACAAATGTTCTGACTTTCCAAAAATGGAAAGAGGAAGAACCCTGGAAATTCTGGACTACTGAGCTTCCCAACATTCAGGAGTAAGCCAGTGGTTTTTTAATACATAGAAAAAAAAAATCAGTGATCAATAGAAGTCAACATAGATTATATAAGAATAAGTCATACAAAAATGTAAATTTCCCTTCTTTCTAGGGCTTTAGATTGGTTAGCACTGCTAACCATAGTCTATTTTTTAATTTTGTGTTGAAAAGGAATTACAACACTCTACTAGAAAACTTGGGAAAATATACTCTGGATGAAGTTAAAAACATTCATCACAGATTAAATGACAAAATATAAAATAATTTCTAACGGACACTGGGAAGGTCTCCAATACCAAGTCACAAGTGCTTGTCCCATTCCCCCGTGCTTATCACTTCAGTGTATAAACAGAAATCTCATTTATCATTTTGCATATTTCAAGAAGCTGGGAAAGATAGATTGTGCTTTATCTAAACCCCTAAACCATCTTGGATAGCCGGTGACCTGAGTCAGGAAGTATCTAACAACCCCTTGCTGGAGGAGTCCCGTTCGGATGATGGGGCTACATCTGGATCTCAGCGTCACTGAGTTCCAACCTATAGAGGCTGCTTTGGCTTTTTCCAGTATTCTCAGTAAGCTGGTCTGCAAAACTTCCTTCCAGAACCCTGTCTTGGTGTTGTCTCCCAGTAATTGAGTCTCTGCCGAGGACACTACTGTCCCCACCAAAAACTCCCAAATGCCAATTGCTATCCTGCGTGGACTTTCTACCACCCCCTTCCTGGATTCCTCAGAATCACCTGTGCCTGCCTCTCAAGACTCCTGCACAGGCCCACATGTCTGTGAGAGCTGTGAGATAGAAATAGTTAAGGGTACAGACTCTCTGTGAGGGCCTGGCACATATTAACCATCAAGAAATTAAATGCCGGTGTTTGATAGATTCTTTTGTAACAATTACATGAGATACACAGAAATCGAGAAATGTGAAATCTGTGCAGATGGAAACAGATGGCCGTCCCAGAAACAGTGATAAGCCGAGCACGTTGAAGCTGGCGGAGGTGAATCGGAAAGGATGCTGCCCTCTGTCCTGGAAGTGAAATAGTGGACCATAAAACAGTCTGTCTCAAAACTTCCACAGTAACTACACATAATTGTTTAAAGACAGAACACGACAGCTCAATGTAATGAGTTCCAATGACAGAGCAGTTGTACCTTAAAGAGCTGTCCAGCAGGAATAGTAAAAAAAAGAATCCTGTATTAGGAGAGAGATTTGACCATTTTTATTTCTTTCTATGTAGCTTTTATGCATATATAATTTGTTCCAATCTCATAGTTTTTGTATTCTTCGAAGGTTCTCCTAGCATAATGCCTTAAAAATAATAATCACTCAACATTCTATTTGTTGATTAAATGGTAGAAATAGACATGCAAAATACGACACCTGCGTGACACCAGGTGAGGAGCACATGAAGGGCGACTACGGCGGCGTCCCACTGCGGAGCGGCCCGGGCCATGTCGGGAGGCAAGAGGACAGCCTTTGCTTCCCTCTAGAAAAGAACATTAAAAGTATTTAAGTCACAATACTTTGATAAAATAATAAAAGGCATTACCTCTTCCACCTAACAGTTATTGTCTTTGAAAGGAAGGAAACAAACAGGGCAAAGGAATGTCACTGGTGCATTGAGCTGAAGGAATAAAGCAATGAATTAAATGTTGTACTCTTCCAAAATCACTACAAGTCTGGGCACTGTGGCTCCAGACAACCTTCTGGGAGGCCGAGTCAGGAAAATCCCTTGAGCTCAGGAGTTTGAGGCCAACCTGAGTGAGAATGAGACCCCGACCTCTACTAAAAATTGAAAAACTAGCCAGGTGTTGTGGTAGGCACCTGTGGTCACACCTGCTTGAGAGGCTGAGACAGGACGACTACTTGAGCCCAGGAGTTTGGGGTTGCTGTGAGCTAGGCTGATGCCCCGGCACTCTAGCCTGGGGAAACAGAGTGAGTGATTCTGTCTCCAAAAAAACCCAACTCTATGAATTACTAGGATATTTGACCCTATTAAAGTATCATTCCTCCTAATTTAGTCTCTCTCATCAGAAACCTCCTCTTTCTAAGCTAACTTCTGATGATGAATTCTTCTCCTGACCAGAGTTATGTACACAGCACATTCTAGGACTATCAGTCCTTGATGAGCAAGACTTGGAAAAGCCAAATACTTCAGAACTCCTGGAGAAAACAGATTCAAAATGAAGAAAAGTGCCAGAAGAGTGAGGCATATGCGCTATTACCAGGTGAGCATATGGAAAGCCTTCCATCTGTAGAGGGCATGAGGAAAACATGTCACAGAAATTCCAAACAATGCTGTCAGGAGTCTACAACTGGAGTTATGGCATTCAATTAATCAATTAATTACATTATTGAGTTACTCAAAAATCCATATTAATCAGTTATTTTTATCTGTTTAATAAAACCCGCACTTTTCATATAAAGTTTTTCATATAAAACTCTACAACAGAACACAGCTTGTGGTTTATCAAATGGCATAAAATATCTAATAACATTTTAAAAACTGGGGTTCCCATGGCTCAGGAATGGAGGGACCCTTTCGTAAGCTTTTTAGCCATAGTAGATCTTCTCTTGATAAGAGGCCACACAAGCCTAAAATGTTCCTAGTTAGGAGGTAACTACTCACCTGTAGAACACATGCAGTAATTATTATTTAACGTGATGCCAAACAGTAATATAGATTCAGGGCCCATCAGTAACCACAGTGTAAAATACCATGGGGACTCGCAGGAGAAAACAAGTTGGCTCATGCATTGCCAAAAGGAAATACAGGAGCCTCTAAGTGGGGGGACACCGACGGTTCTCTCCGTACCTGTCCACCTGTCCGGAGCACATCCTACCCCGTGCAGCCAGGCTGCACCCGCTGGCCGGGTCCTGTCTCTCTCCCCACTGCTGCACGCGGTGATCACTTCAGAGTTTCAGCTCTGAGGCAGATGGAAACGTCAGCAGAGCCCTGACCTACATTTCTCATTCTTGAAGAGAAACTCACACTGTCCAATTCAAAATGACTGGCTCTTAGGTATATTTGGGAAAACCCAGATAACTGAAACTCAGCTGCTTTGTCAGTGTTTTTTTTTTTTTCAGCTTGCTTTAAAATTATTTGTCTTATCAAAGAGGTAGAACGTATATACATGCTTGATTTGTCAAAATCTTTGACGCCAAAAATTATAATACTTAGTTTTCATTCACAACCAGTGTTGATATTAATTATCTATCTTTTTTTTTTTTTTTTTTTGGCCGGGGCTGTGTTTGAACTAGCCACCTCCTGTATATGGGGCCGATGCTCTACTCCTTTGAGCCATAGGCGTTGCCCTAAATATCTATCTTTAAAAATTGTTTTTAGCTTTATTGAGATATAATTAGCAAATAAAGTTATGTGATTTCCTGGTGTACAATGTGATGAGACATGGTGTTTATGTACTTTGCAAAATAATGATTACATTCAGGTTAGTTAATAAATCTCTCACCTCACCTGGGCACCCTTTGTTTTGTTTTGTAGTGAGAACATTTAAGCAAATTTCAAGTGTACTGTACAAATCACGCGTGTTCCCTGTGGTCACCGTGCTGTGTTTGAGATCTCGTGTGACAACTGCAAGTTCGCCCTCTTTGACTGACAACTCCCCTTCCCACTCCTCCACTCCTGGTAACCACCATCCCATTTTCTGTTTTTATGAGCACAGCTATTTTAACTTTCACAAGATTATGCAATATTTGTCTTTCTCTTTCTAATTCATTTCACTTAGTGTACTGTCCTCAAGTTTCACTCACATTGTCACAAATGGCAAAATCTCCTTATTTTTCATGGGGTGAATAATATTCCATTATCTTATATGGAATACAAATGTCCATTAATAGACACTTTTTTTCCATGCTCTGGCTATTGTGGTTAATGCTACAATGCCTATGGGGGTGCAGATTTCATGTGGGGTTCTGTGTCCAGAGGAGGAAGTGCTGGGCCACATGTGAAGTGAGAGGTCCTGGAACTCACCAGATGGCCAAAGCGAGCATTTCCGAGGTGATATTGCCTAACTGCCTAATGATATTTGGCAATGAGGTATTAGCCCTGTGTCCAGGATGAGCTTGTGAATGCAATTGTCCTACCTCATAGGTACAACCAAATCAGTAGAAGGACACCCAAAGGATTTAGAAGGGGAGCTGGAGAGAATACCAGTCATTTTACAATTAATGACAATTTGTCCATATTTAATTTTTCATTTAGTTCAAAGATAATAATGGTATTTGTTATTAACTCTTAATTAAACTTAATTTATAGGGCTTTTAAATTATTATCATAAATAGGAAGAAACGTGAGTATAACACACGAAGTGAATACAGGAGGATGGCTATAATGATTAGCATTTATAATCATTTGGGGGCAGCAGCTGAGTTAGGGAAACAACTGTCCTCTTACTAAAAAGAAAAAGACCTTCCAGTTTCTATAAGCAATGTCAATGCAAAAGAGACAAATCTGGCCTTTGTAGAAGCAAAAAGGAAGGAAACAGGCAAAGTAAGAAAGTGTCTTGAGCATTAACCAGTGAGTCCCACTGCCCTGGAATAGTGATTTCATGAATCTGTGTATGTGTCACGTTGGGCAGGAGTTAGGGGAGAATCAGAGTGTTCGAGAAAGGGTCTGAAAACCCACCTCCAACGTGCGAAGGGCACATTTGGGGGAAGCTGTTTTGCAGCTATTATCATGAGCTATTTGGTGTCATTTCACGTCATTATTATTTTAGTTTGGTTTGGTTTAGTTTCTAGCTTTAGTTTGTCATCTCAGCCTTGGTGCACTGCCACCAAGTGGTGGGAGGGCCTGTGAAGAAAGTAAGAGGCCATATTCTCCCAGCATTTCACCCTTAAAACTGCTTGTCACTGGGCGGGACACAGTGGCTCACAGCTGTAATCTGGAGCTAGGAGGGTCCCCTGAGCTCAGGAGCTCAAGACCAGCCTGAACAAGATGAAGATCCTGTCTTTACCAAAAATAAAACATTAGCTGGGTGTCCTGGCAGGCACCTGTAGTCCCAGCTACTCAGGAGACTAAGGCAGGAGGATCAGGATCACTTAAACCCAGGAGTTTGAGGTTGCTGTGATCAAGACTGAGGCATGGCACTCTAACCTAGGCGACAGAGCAAGACTCTGTCTCAAAACAAATAAAACAAAAAAACCTACTGACCTTTCCAAAACTGCATTTTATTCTACTTAAGCTACACACACACATACATCCACACACATACATACACACATATGTACATACACGCATGCATACACACACACACATATATATACATACATGCATACATACACACACACATATATACATACACGCATACATACATACACACACATATATACATACATGCATACATATATACACACATATACATACATGCATACATACACACACACCTACATACACAGACACACATACATATATACACACACATACATCCACACACATACATACATACACACATACATGCACACACACATATATACATACACGCATACATACATACACACACACCTACATACACAGACACACATACATACACACATACAGACATACATATACACATACACACACATACACACATACATTCATACACACTCATGCACATACATACACACGCATAATTATTTATTATTGGTCCCTCTGACAAATTCTGCTGGCAGAGGGACAAAATGCTCTCTTCTGTAATCTGGAGAGGACAGAAGGGGGTGGAGAATCATAGGCTTTTCACGACTTTTGAGTGACTAAATGAATATTTGAATACTTTATAAATCAAGTATAGCAATTGTATAGTAAAGAATTTATAGAAGAGAAGCTCTTGCCCAAAAAGAAAGTCTGGCCTTTGCCCTGGGCTTCTGGGATGGAATCTTGGGGTGGGTGCTGGGACTGTTATGCCCTGGAGGAAGGTCTTTGTGTGCCTGTGGGGTGTAGCTCTGCTAAAAACTCTGCACCTGGAGCTCAGGTCAGCGTCCCTGGTCCCCAGCACCCTGTGTGTTACCTCACAGCAGTGCTGGGAGGGCAGCTGGCCTGACTCCACAGCAAGAGGACAGAAACCTCTGCGGGTCCAAGCTGTTGGACTCTGCACAGGCTCCATGAGCTGCTTTTCTTGGCTGACTTTAATCTGTGTCTTTTCCCTGTGGTTAACCATAATCCTTAATATAAGAAATAGCTTCCTGTGAGTTCTGTGCACCTTTCTAGCAAATTATGGAATCTGAGAGTTTTACTTCAGGTTCTGAGAACCTTCTGAACTCAGTGCTAGAAGTAAGAGCCATTTTGGGAATGTGCCCACTGGCTTTGTAGCTAGCCTACTCTCCTTGAAGCAGGAAAAAGTCTGCAGATTTTACCTCCTTTGCTTTTCAATAAAATGTAGTTAACATTTTAAGTAATCTGTATACTTTTGAATAAAACATTCATGAGGCTCTTTTACCCAGTGTTTACCCATAATAGGTTCATGGACTCATTCAATAAATATCCATTGAATTTAATGGAAAGCAATTAAAGTACGTAGGAAAGAATCCATTTAACTTGTTTCTTATATACATGTTACCAAATATTTTTATTAAAGTGAAAACTCTCTGTATTGTATTAATACTGTACTTACTAATTATATGATGTTGGGAAAATCATACAATTTCTGAGAGTTTGATTCTGAACATTTTTAAAATTAAATATAATACCTTTTTCAAAGATACTAATTAAGGATTAATGAAAATGAAGGAAAAAATAAATATATAAAATATGTTGGCTAAGTGCCCAGAGCTCAGTGGTTAGGGCACAGACCATGTACATGGAGGCAGGCAGGTTCCAACCCTGCCCAGGCCTGCTAAACAATGACAACTACAACAAAAAAATACCTGGGCCTTGTGTCTGGCACCTGCCATCCCAGCTTCTTGGAAGGCTGAGTCAAGAGAGACGCTTAAGCCCAAGTTTGAGGTTGAGGTTGCTGTGAGCTGTGACGCCAAGGCATTTTACCGAGGGTGACACAGTAAGACTCCGTCTCAAAAAAAAAAAAAAAAAAAAAAACCTTTAGCCTTACATGTGGCATAAAGTATACGCTCCATAAATATTAGCTGAGATAATATTCTAAGAATTTCATATAAAATCTATGCCTTACAAATTTTATTGGCTAAAGATTTATGATAACATTAAAATGGACATTTCTTAATGCAGTCCTCCTTTATTTAAGAAGCTAATTTCACTCCTGTGTAAATTCATGAGCTGAAGGCGTTGTAAGGGTTTTAACCACTGTCTTCTACACAAATCATCCTCCTTGAATGTATATGGCCGTAAAACTATGATTGAAGCAAACTGCCTTGTTCTTTTTATTTGCATTTCTTAAATTTTAAATTTATAAACTAAGTTGATGCCACTGTTTGCATGCATTGATTATGAATAGCAATTTCTGGGCAAACTGTGATTCTACAAAGCTAAAGACACATTTTTTCCCTAAAATTTCTGCCACGGCCACTACCATGGTCTTGTGATGATTAATGCTGCTTCCTAACGCTTTTTCTCTATTTTGGGGCATCAAGAAGGTACATTCATGAAATTCTTACCAACATGACTCTTGACTAAAAATTTAACTAAAGTTGTAGAAATTCCCCACCATTCTACTAAACACAAGCTGTTTTCCAGCTGGTCATTTTTAGATTATGACTCTGTGGCATGTGAGCGCTGCGCGTGTGTCCACGTCTCCTGTGCAGCTTGTACTATAATACAAGGGTGTCTTGCTAACCTCAGGGGTGCTTTCCTAGTCTTGGGAATAAGAACGGACAATCTTTTTTATGTCCTAAGTCATGAAATCAATCTTCCATCAAATGTCCAATTACAAACTGTGGACTTCAAGCTGCAAGGGCAAAGTCTTAAGCTTCTTCATGAATCCGGCATTTCCAGGCAGGTACCAGGGAAAGGAGGAGTTAAGGGGACCCACCCAAAGTCCCCGCTCCCTGTTCTTTTCACTTAATCCTCTCCCTTGCCCCCTCTCTCCTTCCACCCTTCAGCATAATCGGGTTTACACCCCAAAGGATTTGGGGCATCACTTTGGCTTTCAGGGACAGAAGTCTGTGGGAGGAGCACCCCCCCCCCCCGCCCAGCGAGATAGAGGGTTCCTTAGGTAGGAAACCCGCGAATCTGTCTAATCTGTCTCTATGGACGTGGGACGCGTTGTTAGGGGCCTGGGGGTGGGGGGTGGGGAGTGACCGCGGGGCTGGGCGGGGACGGGAGCAGACAGTTTGATTTCCGAGACTCAGGCGTGGGAAAGATTCGAATGGAGGTGGGAGGCGAAATAGGGAAAACGTCGTTTTATTAAAACAGGTGGGGTTTTTTTGGGGGGGGAGGGAGGTTATTGTTGTTGGTTCTGTTTTTGTCCGGCGAGTCCCAGAACTTTCTCCAGCGGGTTAGGGTTGGGGGTGAGGGAGTGGGGGCGGGGCGCCGGCGGGGGTGAGGGGCTCGGAGAGGCGCTGGCAGGTGCTCGGGGCCAGGTGGGGGCGGGGCGCGTCCGGGTTCGCTGAAAACCCCTTTGTCTCTTCTGAGCGTCACTCGCTTCCTCAGTTTACCCCAGGGCTGGCTTCCGGTCAGCCCCTGTGCCGGGCTCCGGCGGATTTCGGAGGTGGCGGAGCATTGTCACCTGACCGGTCGCTCGTCGTAACGCTCCTGACGGCGACCACGTCGCAGTTGTAACATTTCTCCCATTCCTCCTCGGTGCAACCACAAGCTGGCGACAGCAAATTATGGTAAAGGTTGAAAAGGAAGCGCTCTCCCTCAATCGTACAGCGACAAGGAGGGGACGAGAAAATACGCCGCGTGGGTCTAAGTGCGTGGGTCAGGTTTACAGTTGATCTTTTAAAGGTGCGTTTAAATCAGTCCTCCCGGGCTGTGGCTGCGTCTCACTTTGCTAGGGCTGCTGTAACAAAACTCGCAGACTGGGTGGCTGAACAACAGACGTTTATTCTCCCAGTCTGGAGGCTAAAAGTTGGAGCTCAAGGTGTGGGCAGAGCTGAGTTTTTCTGAGCCCTCTCTCCCTGGCCGGCAGGTGGCTGCCTTCTCCCTGGCCGGCAGGTGGCTGCCTTCTCCCTGGCCGGCAGGTGGCTGCCTTCTCGGTGTCTTTCCAAGGTCGCACTTCCTCCCATTGTGGCACCAGCCGGGTGGGACTGGGCCCCAGCCTGACAACCCCATTTTAACTGTCTCCTCAAATACAATCACATTCCGAGGCACCGGAGGTGAGAAATGTGGTGGGGGACATAACTCAGCCTGTAACATGGACCATTTATCAACACTTCAGATTCACAGAGAAAGGAGGATTCTCTTACGTCTGGTTGGAACGCAACACCCAGCAGTAATTCAGCCGGTCGTGTCTCATTTTAAGCACAAATTAATCATTTAACAACGCAGGGAGCCTGGCTGTGGTCTCAGGGCAGGCGCTAGTGGGCTGTGTTGGATCAAAGTATGAGGCAGAGGCCTTGTCTTCAAGAGTAAATGTTTGAGGCTCGGCGCCT